GAAAGTCTGCTGTTAGGGACCTCTCCAAAATACTGAAGATCAATGGTGTCTCTCTGGAGACTAAGGTGCAGCTGATACAGGCCATGGTCTTTGCTATGCATGGTCTTGTTATGCATCAGAGAGTTGGACAATGACCAAGGAGGACAGAAGGAGAATTGATGCCTTTGAGCTGTGGTGCTGGAGAAGAGTATTGAAAGTACCATGAACTGCTAGGAAAACAAATAGATTCATACTGGAAAGGGTTAAGCTGGGTGGCACCTTGGAGGCAAGGATTCTGAGGCTCCATCTAACATACTTTGGACATGTTGCAAGGAGAGACCGGTCCTTGGAGAAGGACATCATGCTTGGGAGGGTGGAGGAACAGTGCAGGAGGGGAAGACCCTCTATGAGATGGATTGACTCAGTGACTGGGGCAATCGGGATGGGAGTGTCAGAGACAGTGCGATTGGAACAGGACAGAGCAGAGTTTAGGGCTGTAGTACATAGGGTCGCTATGAGTCGCAAACGACTCGACGGCACATAACAACAACAATTAATTTAAATGTTTTCCTTTTACTTCTTCCATTTTTTAAACTTTGTGACATGGAAATTTTCAGATATAACACAACTGTAAACAGTATCATGAACCTTCACATACTCACCATCAGTTTAAGTAATGTCAATATGCACTGACTATTATTATTTTTTTTTACTATTATTATTTTTTAAAATAGCATTCAGTTTATTACAAATATTTAGTATTGGCTTCCCATATTTCCCCCCTTTTGTTTTTATCATAATTATGTTATCATCTAGATGAGCATTCTTTATACACAAACAAACAAATTAAACATAATAAACTCAAAGAAATACTTTCAAAAATCTCCATATGATCAGAAGGATTCAGGTTAAATATTCCTTAAAAGTCTGTTTTAATTGTCCCATTGCTACAGTGCTTGTCAAAGCAATGACTATTATAATGCCTACATATATCCACACCCCTCTCCCCACTACTGGTCCTCAACTCAACTATTTCAAAGTAGATCCCAGATACTTTATCATTTCAGTCTTAATACTTGAGATCAGAGAGAGGACATAAAAAAAGATATATAACTATAAAACCTTTATCACATCAAAAGTAAAGGAAGGACTGTTTAATATCATCTAATGTTCATATTTTTCCATCTTTTTTCTTTTTTCTTTTATTTTATTGTTTTTGTGTGTACCGTCAAATCGGATCTGACAGTACAGGAGGAAATTGGCCCTCCTTCTCCAGCAGAGCATCAAACTGCATACCTCTGGGATTGCAGTGCAGCTTCTTACCACTAGGCCACCAGAGCTCCCTTTCCCCACCTTTCTAAATAGATGGTCTGTTTGAATTAGAATCTAAATGAGGCCAATATATTATGTTTAGCTTTCTTAAATTCCATTTGGTGGTATTAATCCATTTTAGTTAATATTAGACTCTACTTAAAACATAGTCAAACTAAAAAAAAAAAAAACCAACATAGTTAAACTCCTTACGAGCATTTATACAAGTTTAATATGCAATATTCCTTTTCATATATTGAATTAACAAGTAACGCCTTCTAGAGTTCCTAAATAAATCTTATCAATCTAATAAACTATTAAAAATAATTAATCTTATGTCTTTAAAAAAATTGAAACTGTTTTACAAGTTAACAGAATTTCAATTTAAAACTATACCACCAAATCAATTATTCCAAATAAAATAGTCACCTTTTAAAAGTTGTTGTTATTGAATACCATCGGGTTGGAATTAACTCATAGCGGACCCTCCAGCAGATCTTCAGAGGCAGTAAATCACACGGGAGGAGACTGTGCACCTTTCTCCCATGGAGCAGCCGGTGCGATTTGAACAGCCTTTTTTTGTACTGGTAGCACAATTCCTTAACAGCTCTCTTATATTGTACAAGTACTTAAAATAGCTAAAATGCACAGTCTTTTAAAAAACAAAACTATTAATACCGTGGACCAGATCAAGAATCAGCAAGCTATGTAGTCAAAGCTAGTCTGCTGGCTGTTTTTACAGACTGGGATCTGAATGGCTCGTACATGCGTAAGCAGTTGAAATAAAAATTGAAAGAAAATAATTTCATGCCACGTAAAAATTATTTAACTTTTTTTTCGTATCCATCCAGAATTTTTCTGGGGCATCTGGCCAGGCTCGCTCACTTACATATTATCGAAGGCTGCGTCTGTGCAGCAGTGACAGTGAAGCAGTTACAACAGATATTGCCTCATGCTTCACACCACTGCTGAGCACACTATAAAGTAAAAAACACAGTGGCACAGTTGTGACCTGGCACCTTTCTGAGTGCTATGTGCATTACCATGCAGCAACACTTTTTTTTTACTACCCAGTATGCCAAATCAAGAAAAGGGAACTCTGTCAAACTGTTAAGACACAAGGGAGAGCAGAGTATTTTGTTCTTGAATTAAATGGCAAGGCAAAGGGATTCTTATGCAGTGATGTTATGAAAGAATAAAAAAAATATGCGATGTTACATTGTTACAATAAGCTCACAACAATCCCAACTCATAAGAAGGTAATTATCAAGAAAAAATATTCAAATGGATTATCTCATCACTGCAGAATGCCTTCATAGAAAATTAAAAAGAAAAAATAAAACAGAGGTTTCCTTTTTCAAGTTGCTCATTTGCTAATCAAGCTTGGAAACAGGAGTGGCATCCACTTCCTAAATAGCTTGCCTCTAGGAACTCTATGAACGTGGAGAAACGATGGAGAAACGATGAAAGTTATACAGGTATCCAGGTTTTTTCATTCATAGGGTCGCTATGAGTCGCCTAAGACTCGATGGCACTTAACAACATAGAGAGAGCTCTGTTGGCCCAGTGGATAGAAAGTTATGCTACCAACCCGAAGGTGTGTGATTTTAATCTGTGGCACTCAGGCCTGGTTTTAATGGGTTTTGGTCAAATATTCTTCTAAGAGGCATAGCACTGGTCTGTCCATTTGCTGTACAGAGGTAACTCATGGTTGCTGTGATGCTGAACGCTGTGACATTGATGTGCCAAATGTGTCACCCATGGTGGACAGTGTTTGGTGGAGCTCCCCGAGTAAAACAAGCTTGGAAGCAGGAGTGGCATCCACTTCTGAAATAGCTTGCCTCCTGAAACTCTATGAACATGGAGAAACGACCAAAGTTATACAAGTGTTCAGGTCTTTCGTTCAAAAGGTCCCTATGAGTCGTCTATGACTCAACGGTACTTAACAACATTTACTAATCAAGCAAGAAAATCCACTTACTGCTAGAAAGTTAATTAAATAATTTTTGAATGCAACAACTGAAGGAGTCTGTCCAGAGGGTATAAACTTATTTGACCTTATTATTAGCCTTTTAAGTTTGGGTTGGTGTGTT